GATTCTTTGACTTCATTTCCTGAAATCCAGGTCCCAAGCCTTATAGGTCATGAACTAGAAGTCAATGCATTGGGCTCATTTTGAAGACAGATAGATATTTTCCAAGAATGACCTGCCCCCAGGAGTGACCTGCCTTTTCCCAGGAATTTAAGTGTTCTTTAGAGGTAGCCACAGTCAGTAATCATAATTACCCAGCAGTCCTTGGCTGTCCTGTAGTGAAGCTCCAGCCTTCAGTCCTGCAGAGCTTGGTATCAACTCTGTGGAGGGTGAGAACACCAGAGCTCTGAAACTCCATGCCATTCAAACTTAATGTTGTATGGTGGCTCTCTAAAACTTCACAAAATCAAAGCTCATCTCTATTTTAATTCAGTGAGACCTCTGAATTGGAACTCCATCCTGATCCTCTAATTGGAGTCAATGGGCATGTTTACACATGCATTAAGGCACTTTTTCTAATGTGCATTAAAATTAGTACCTCCAATGTGAGGTACTAAATAAATGCGCATTAGGTTGCCTTAATGCATAGTAAAGAATGTGCAAGGTTTTTAAGTGACACTTAATGGACAGTAGCCTATTTTACTTTACGTTAGTGTAATAGCATGGTTTTTTATGTGATGCTTTAATGCACAGTGAAATAGGCTACTGTGCATTAGAGCACATGTGAGATGTGCTCAGTGGGTATTTTTCCAGTGGCTACAAAGATGGATCAAGGATACAGGCAGTCCTCAGACTTACGGCTCAATTGGTTCCTGAAAAACCGCATCTTAAGTCAAAACGTTGTAACTCAGAACTGATTTCCCCATAGGAACAATTTTATAAATGGGGGATTGGTTCCTGAACCAAGGCCCAATACCCTATTTTTACTAAAAATAACCCAGACTTTTGTATTCAGTCAATTATAGATGAGTAATATATATAAATACATGAATGTATTTATATTGTAAATAGCAATCATATTGATTTGGAAGGACTTCTTTGAGGTGACTTTGCTGGACTTTTTGAAAGACTCTTAGTTGGACTTTTGAAGGGTTCTTGGCTGGAGTCTTCTCAGGAGTCTTGACTGCAGGTTTTTGTGGAAACTTGTCTGCTTTCTTAAAGTGCCCAAGGAAGTGCGGACAGATGTTCTCCAGGGAGATGGGCGACACAGCAAACATGTTTGCTGGTGTGGCATTGCATTGGATCAAGCTTCATAAAGTCAAAAATGACGTCAGAAAGTTGAAATGGTGTCAATTTATAAACATTGTAAGTGCCATTTGTTGTAACTCAAAATGTCGTAAGTTGAGGACTGCCTGGATAAAATGTCTCAAGCCTGACTAAAGAAAATAACTAAGCAGCCAAACAAATGAATTTTAATGATTACTGACTCTGGTCTACTTAAAATTTAGTTTATGCTACTGTGTGTTATATTTGTATCACAGCTGAAAAAAGTTAAAAGCTATGGAACGGTACTTTAGCTGCTAGGCTACTGCTGTTTCTGGAGATGTAATCAAACAAAAGTCAAGCCACACAAGGCATAGTCAGCCTAACATTCCCAGACTTTGAAGATCAGCCCTCTCCAGAGCAGCCTAACTTCCCTGGGAATTTTATGAGTTACACAACATAATGTGTGCGTGTTGTGCAGCAGTTTTCTATAGGTCATAAATCAGTCAGAGTCAAGCCAGCTTCTCAGATTCTCAGAGGTGCTTTGCATTAATCAGGTGTCTTTTCCAAATCAAATTTCACATCTCAAACCTTTTGACTGTTCAAGATTTACAAAAACTTGCAGGAATATATTTCTGACTCCCAGCTTGGGGAAGTGGCTGCTTACACAACAGAGCATAACTCCATTTGACTTCAATGTGAGTTGATATCCTTCCAACTCCAGTCTGTGTGCCTTCTTTATTAAGGCTCTTTTCTTCTGTTGCAGTAACAAAAAAGTGTCCTAGACACAGTGGCTCAATTTCCTGGCAAGGATGAAACATCATCCTTCAGGTGTGATTGTTTCTGTACTTGCTTACTAGGGGCTTGATACACAGCCCATTTAAGCCTGTAGAAAATCTCCCACTGGGAAAGAAGGTACCTAGAAGATTTTACTTTCTGTCGAGATCCATCCATTCCGGAGTAGATTTCTCTCTCCTGGTTTCCCCTCAGGACTTCCTCCCCCATGTTCAATCTTTATTCTGCTCTACAGCCAAATCTAACTGAGCTTTTTTCCTCCCGTGTTTTATTAGCTTCCAACACCAAAACAAATATTCACTATTCCATAGGGAAGCCTTGATGGCATAGTTGGTAGGACACAGTAATTTTCTATGGCACTAGTGTGGCTCAGCTCACATTATCAAAAGATCTCTGCTCACAGTTGGAAATGTGATGAGAGAAAGAGTTCAGTGTATAAATTCCAAACCCAGGAAGTTCAGAGTTTTCCCAGGTGATCATTATCATATATTACCGTCTTTGCTGGCAAGAGGCATTCAGCTGAAGCGTGGTACTTAGGTGAAAAGATTTTTCTTCTTTTAATAGATATAATGAAAAATAGATAAAGTGCCATATTGTCAATGGAGGATTTATTATCTTTCAGTTTAAGATCTATAGAAAGAATAATGGATTGAAGATTGGAGGCCATCCATTCAGAACTTGGTCTCAGAAGTAGAAAGGACTCACCTTCTTACAGGTGCAGATTTGTCATTGCTGAATATCAATACATGTCTTAGCCATTCAGTCTCTGAAACCATGAGCATTCTCTAGCAATACAGTTTGGCATAGTGTGAGCATTGACATAGTTTGAGCATTCACTACTGACATATGAATCCCCAAAGGTTAGCAGGTTCATCTACTTTTTGTTAACATGCTTGAGTTTGTATCCGCTAAATTTGGCTGGAAACCTCTCGAGAACAGTGTATCCCATGAGATTTCCATAAGTAAGTTTCTGCTTTAGCTGGAAATACTGAGAGAAAAGCATTTCCCAAGGTATTTTTAGCTTTTCTTAGAGCATCCCAATTCAAGAAGGTAGCATTATGCTACTAACATTAATCAGCACCAACTTAAAATTCTTTTTAACCAGACTGGAACATCTTTTGGTTGGGTTTTATTTTACTAAAGCTGTTCTTCCCACCACTTTGCTCCCAAAGCTGAGATTAGAAACAAGCCCTTAAAATGTAATGGGAATTGCTCTCATTCAGGGAAAAGTGTCCTTCACAGAGGAAATGGAGGAATCAGTCAGGGATATTACACCTACCCATGAGAATTATAACAATTTTGTGAGGGCTGTAAAGAGAAGTGTCTGCCTTTCCATTCCAAGGGGCTGCCATGCAAATTATATCCCAGGCATGTTGAGCTCAACATCAGACAAGTACACTCATTATGAGAAAGAATACCATCTCAACCCCTTTTCAGAATCTACCATTACACTGGAAGAAATCCTAATAGCATAGGAGTAGAGAGACACAATGCTTGGAAAGAGATGATTGAGGACACCAATCTGACACATAACAACAAGACAGCTTGGGTGACTATAAAAAAATTAGGAGACGACAACATAACACTTCTGGCTAAATCAAATGTAACTGCCAACAAGGTTGCACAACAACTGCTCGACAATGGAAAGCACTCACATAGAAGAAACACTGGAAAACACCATCACTGCATTATACCATCTAACAAGCAACCACCTAAAGACCTAACCTGTCCATTTGCTTTGGAGGAACTGACAGTCAGCATAGGCCTATTGAAACACAGGAAGGCAGCAGAAGTAGACAGCATACTCACTGAGATGATACAACACCTAGGACCCTTTGCAAGGCAATGGCTCCTTAGTCTATTCAATACATGCGTGATGAGTAAACAAATACCATTGCTATGGAGAAAGGCAAGACTCATGGATCTTCCTAAACCAGGTAAAGACCTTTCATCACCAGAAAGTTACAGACTTCCTCCTCAGCGTGACCTACAAACTCTACAAATTTCTTATCCTACAGCAAATTTCATCCTTGGTAGATTCCAAACTTACATGAGACCAAATGCGTTTTTAGACAGGGTCGATCCAGTGCAGGTGAACTACTAAACCTCACACAGCATATCAAGGATGGTTTCCAACAGAAGTTGATCACTGGTGCAGTGTTTGTTGATCTATCCACTGCATACGATTCTGTCCAACACCACATCATGATCTACAAACTACTTCATGACTGACAACTTAGATATAAGCCAGACTATCTGTAGCCTTTTGAAGAACAAGCACTTCTATGTGGAATGAAATGTCCAGAAAAGTCAATGGTGATCCCAAAAGAACAGGTTATGACAAGGCAGTGTGTACACCCCACTTTTATTCAGCATCTACATTAATGATCAGCCACTTCCTGCGGAATGTCAGCGTTTCATCTATGTTGATGATCTGTGCATTACCACACAGCAGAATAATTTTGAGGACACTGAACAAGATGTCAGATTATTATCTAAATAATTATCTCAAACCCAACCCTAACAAAACCCAAATCTGCTCTTTTTATCTGAGGAACTGGGATATGGAACGACACCTGAATGTCACCTGGGGTGACCAGAGTCTCAGACATCAGAAACACCTAGTCTACTTAGGGGTAACACTGGACTGTACACTTAGTTACAAAAAGCACATGTTAAATACCAAAGCCAAGGTCAACACATGAAACAACATTCTGCATAAGTTCGCAAATTCCAAGTGGGGAGCACATTCAACCACCCTACTCACTGCTGCCTTAGCACTTTTTTTCTCTGTGGCTGAATATGCCTGTACAACCTGAGGATGCTCAAGTCATAGTAAACATATTGACACCACCCTAAGTGATACAAGCAGAATTATAAGAACCCACTCCTGTTCTCTGCCTATACGCACTATTTGGCAAAGCACCCTTACATCAGGGGGAAAGTACCAGGTGACTTTGACCAGCAGGTACAAGAATCAGATGATCATCACCTGCTATATGGACATCAACCAGTGCACCCTCATGTGTCATCATGAAATAGCTTTTTGTCCTCTACCCTACCATTGACCACACCACCAGAATCAGCCAGAACTACCCTCTGGCAAAAAGAATGGGAGAAACTAGGCAACAGAGCTGTTGAATGGAGTTGGCAAGGAATTACCCCCAGTGAGAAGTTAGTATCTAGCTCCAACTACAAATGGTAGAGCCTGAATAGATTGAGAGTGGGTCTCAGCAGATGCAACTTTTTCATGAAATCATGGGGCCTCTATGCAACCAACCAATGTGTTTGTCAGGAGAAACAAACTGTAGATCATCTCCTGAGATGCCCTGTAGCACCACAATGCACTCCACAAGATCTGGCAACACTAACACCAGAAGCAGTGGCGTGTGCAGAATATTGGGAACACACCATCTGGAAAAGTTGGCTTCTTAGCACTGAATTTATGCCTCAGATACCTTGTTCCAAGTGGATCCAAATCCTCAGACCAACCGCAACCTCTCCAATGATAGGCAAATGTTATTGATACACAGTGATAGCACATAAGAATAATACAAACAATTCTATATCTACCAGTCCTAGGGTTCACAGAGTCAAGGTACATCTGGTCAGTATATGAGCTTTACTCTGAGGTTCTCTCTTGAATGCCAGATGTCAGCAGCCTGGATATCAGAGCCCGGTCCCCCTCCCCCCCCCACAGTGGGGTAGGTGAGATGGATTGGTGGTATGCCCTCTGTCCATGGTGACCTCAGGTCCCCTCTCGGGGACCCTTTGCTGCTCTGAAATCCCTCTTTTCATATTCTTTCTCTCCTTCTGATGACTCTTCATCTTTGGGTATCATCAGTTGGTCTCCCTGTGGTCATCATACTCTACACATTCTGTCCTGTCATCAAATTCCTTTGTTTCACAAACCCATCACATGCACACGTCCTAATTTGGGCTTTACCAGTCTTCTCATAATTTGGTCTGTTCCCCAAAACCAGAAATCCCAAGAGCTCTGCACTTGGGCACTGTGACTTGGTGCCAATGCTGCAGAGTTCCTTATCTCATGTTATGGAACAGTGTAGTACATGTCTTCCATTTCCCAGCCTGTGTGTCTGCTTGCTGCTTGCCTCTGCACAGTGGACCTTGAAGGAACTTTGTCACAAACAGGCTTTTAGAAATCACTTAACCCTTGCCATTGCCTTGTCAGTTAACTCTAACTAGCTTTGAGCATCAAGAACAATAAAAAGTCCTTTTTCAGATATGTGAGGAGCTGGAGGAAAAGTAAGGGCAACTTTGGACCCCTGCTGAACCAGATGGGGCAACTGACAACTGACGCCCAGGAAAAAGCCAACCTATTAAATGGGTACTTTGCGTCGGTCTTTCATCAGTCCCATGGGATGCCCACGCCCGCTACAGGACAGGGAGGTCCAGGTGAGGGAGATCCCCTGCCCTCCATTAATGCTGACCTCATGAAG